AGAAGAGATGTGTGGAGGGAAAAGGAAAGAATAGGCAACATAACCAATTATTCCTGTAAATCATTGTCATGAGATTACGCAGAAAATTCGGAAATAAAACAAAAATCAAGAAACTAGTTAAAAAAACTGGAAATCGCTCATGAGCCTGACACTATAACAACAACTCATATCTCTCTGGATTGTTTTTGAGAGCAATGGCGGCGATTGACTTTCGATGCACAACACCTCAAAGTGGATGACAACATTGGTTCATTGGATATTACTATCCACTGAAAGAAAAAGTTCAAACAGAAATTGGCAAAAACATTTAAGTTAACGTTCAAGAGATAATAGCGATCATTGACATCATAGATTGAAGCTATTTATGTATATGAATTCAAAGACTTAATTAACTTTTCTAAGAATATATCTGGATTTACCTTTTCTCTTTGCCCTCGCTATGCCCTAGAATACGCCGAGACAGGAAATGAGCGCCTTTATGTTGAGAAACAATCAAGCGCTTGGATTCATATGTCTTGGAGGTAAAGTGTAAAATCAAAGCAGTAGTTTCAGGTTTATACACTTACTGGATGACTGGATGTGGGCTATTGAAGGAGCATTACATTTTTAAGAAATGGATGAATTTGGAACTAGCCATTGCTTTCGCATCAAGCCAGAGACAAAATGAGCAACGCTTTATAAGCAAAATCCTAGTTAAAGGTTGAGATGTTAGTTTTAAGGACTGAAGTGGTTAGGGGCAGTGCAAGTAAACGAGCAAAAAAATAAGTGCTAGAAAACTTTTAAATGGGTTGAGATACCAAGGAGAATTACCACTATTATTTATTTCGATGCGCTCGTGGCGCACCAAAAAAATTACGACAAAACAGAATTGGTCTACAAGAACTTAAACGAGGATTAAGAAACTAGCTTTAACTTGGACAACCCAGAATACTCTGTTTCACGGGCAAGGGCATATCTGACATTAAACAGGAAGAGCAGATGATGAGCAGCAGGGAATTAGAGAGACAAGCTATAGAAAAAGACATTTAAAAAGAAAATTGAAGCTTTTTTTGTAGATCCATAGGAATATCGTTTACTTTAGTAAATTCTGCATTGTGTGCCTAACTTCTAGCAAATTTCAAACACACCAGAGCAGATAAACATCAAACAAACACAGGCGATCTCGGCTACGAACACGCAAAGGATGTATGATCGACTCATAGTTTCATATTTATCTTAACATTCTCAGTTTTCACAACCAACACATTGTTTAAGCTTATGTATATCAAAAACATGAACGTACACGATAGAACGCGGTGCGAAATGTTGGTGTAAAGTGATAATCAAAGGCGCCCGCCCT